TAAGTAATGGACAAACAAAAAAAGGGAAGGAATCCTTTTGAGAAAAAAGAGTCACTGCAATGAACTTATAAAAAAACTTAGAAATTCGAAAAAAATGGAGCTTCCGCCTGAACCTATTCATTCCACTCCTGAGCGCTCTACTCAGCTGAAGAGTAAGATGCTTTCTCTAGCTCAGTCTGAAATCGACTCCTACTTTCTTCTATATTCTATTTTAACAACTCGAGTATGAACACCGGCGCTTGACACCTTCTGCTTGAACCCGACGATATTGCATATCCACTGAGGCTTTAAGCACTCATACTAACTGAGCCAGCCTGCTTCATTACTGACATCGATTGATTTAGCACCGAATGCCAAGCTGAAGATGAGTATTCGGCCTTACAAGAGCATCTGGGCAAGGAAGAAGAAAAAGTTTACTCAACCAATCGTTCTATAAGCAAGGGGCTGGTGCATCACGGTTTTCATTGGTACCACTGGCTAGTAAAACACTTCTAGTCGTTAGCACTAGGAATGACTACTCACATGGACAGCTATGAATGGCAAGGATTGGAGTTAGCACTCGGTTCGTTCTATAGCGATTCACGCTCTTTCACATTGACAGTGGAGGAATCGTGGTTCAAGAAACGTAGACGGCTGTGCACCTCGGAATGCCATTGAGGGAGGGATAGGGCCTACAGTAAGAATGAGATCTCCTCTCAGTCTTGCGAGCTATTTTTCCCAGTGCTTCGTTTGTTAATCCTGGATCACCACCTTCTAACCTCTGGTTTACAGAAGCTTTCTCGCTACCCGAGACTTCAGGAAAAAGGAAGTTATACCGGCGATTTACCAGGCCTTCAGATGCCCTAATTAAGAAATGGGAAGAAGAGCAAAGCATACTCCCAAGCTTAGACGTGACTTCATACTTTATATATCATGACTGAGTTGTAGAGGAATGCATTTCGAATCTATTAGATTTAGGGGCTATCTTTAGCTTGCCATTAGCGAGGTGAAGAAAGCCGAGGCACCAACAGAGAAATTGGATCTCACTGGCCCAACTCAAACTACTTCGTAACCTCTCTCCCTTATCTTACTAACTTCACTATTTGAAAGAAGAAGTCGGATACGGGAAGAATGAATGGGCATCCAGTGGCTGAAATGGAAGAAGTTGAGATTGACTCTCCACAACTAGAGATGAGATTCAGCTTTCATTTCACCAGTCGCGAATAGGTTTGCATAAAGGTACGTTTCAACGAATCTTGATCTTGGCTGGGAGTGACTACTACTAAGGGACCAAAAAGCCTTTCTCGTCTGTCATGGAGAACCTTCCCGGGCTCTAGCTCTACCATAGACTTAGATAGACTTAGAATAAGCGGGACTAGAGGACAAAGCATCGAGAAGAAAAGCCTTCAGAGCCAAGACCTACTCCTAAATCAGCAGAACTACGGATGAAGCAAGAACTCTCCTCCTACAGACATCAAAGAAATCGCTGTCTAAAGCCAATGATTTGCTAACTACTCTCGGCGGGAAGACCCTGTGACCAAAGCCCAACCCGGGATCTCCTTTACCTAATGTTTTGAAAGCATACGAAAGAGGATCTTGCTTTAGACCCCAATCCACACACAACTTCTCCATTCTGGAAAAGGAAGAAGTCATTGAAGAAGAGAATGAACTAACTATCCGGAAGGACAAGGAGAACCTTGAAAGGAGTGAAATTACTAAACAAGTATAGGGATTCCGTTTTCACTTTCCGCTGGCTTACTCCTTTCTTACTTAGATAACTCCCCCTGGCCTGCTTTCGCCCTAGCTTGCCCTTTCTATACCACTTTTGGCCTAAAATAGAAAGTTAACTAAGGGACTGCTCTCAAGGAATGGGACTAGAGGTACCAAACCTTCTACACTCCTATGAAGACTCTAACTCAAAACGAATTTCATCCCGACGTTCTATCACTAGGATCCCTGATGGCTTTCTTTTGCCGGGACTGCAGGAAAGTCAAAAAACAGAAGTACCCGGAGAAGCCGAATGACCCAAGGAAGCCAGATAATCAGCACATGCATTGCCTTCACGGAGAGTATGGCCTAGAGTAAGGAAAAAGTCGCCAGCAAGGCTCTAATATCAGCTAGTATTGCACTTGCCGGACCCCCAGGATCCCTGTCTCCTGATAATAATTGAATTGCAACCATGGAATCCATCTCCACCACCAACTCAGTAATACCTAGCGTTCGACAGGTACGAATACCCTCTCTTACTCCCCACAATTCAGCCATAAAACTTGAGGTATGACCAATATTAACAGTGAAACCCTGCACCCATTTGCCATATGAATCTCTCACTAATCCTCCTGCAGTAGCCAGCCCCGTAACATGAGAAAGCGCACCGTCCGTGTTCAGCTTGTACCAACCCAAAGGTGGGGGCTTCCAAGCAACCCATCTTAAATCTCTCCGCCGAGCACTAAATCCGGACCTTTGCGCCAAGAAAGTATAATGGGAATGCTGCAAAATATTAGAACAAAGAACAAAAGGTAGAGTGGAAGATTGCTCAAAAACAAGCTTGTTCCTATCCTTCCATAGAAGCCATAAAGCTGAAAGGAACACCAAAGTCCAAGGAATTTGAGTGTCACCAAACTTCCTTCTTGAGGATGTTGCTCGTTGAACCCATGTTGTAAGATCCCAAGTGAAAAACTCCAAATCTCTAATGCCCAAAGCAGCCCATACTGACCTTGCAAACTGACAGTCTCGTAAAATATGGAAAGGTGTTTCCAATTCTAAGTTACAGCGGGGACAAGCAGGTGAGCTAGTGAGATAGCAGTTATACCTGTGTACATTTGTAAAGAGTCTACCCTTGAAAACTAACCACATGAACATTCGTATCCTTTCCGAGCATGGCAATCTCCAGATCCAACGCCAATTAAAGGAAGGAAAAACTATCTGATGGTGACTACGCTGAATAAGTGAAAAAGCAGACTTGGTTGTAAAATTGCCATCTGTTGTACCAGCCCAATATAAAGTATCACAAACCTCAGCTTGAGAGGCTAAAGGTATTGCTCTAATTTCTTCCACCACTTCCAACGGAAGCAGCTCCAACAATACCTCTACCTTCCAATCTCTGCTTGTTGAGATGACATGAGAGACTGTCCAGGACAAGGAATCTCTATCTAACGGACCCACCAAATGGCACCGCAGTGGTAAATCACCAACCCAGATATCATTCCAGAAGTTTATATTGTCTCCAGTACCTACACGCCATCTCAGCCCCATTTTAAGCACATCCCGACAACTCAGGATACTTCGCCACGTCGCAGAGGAGGACGGTGGAGGTTGTACGTTGAAAAGGGATTTGTTTTTCAGATATTTGGCGCGGAGTGCTTTGCACCATAATGATTCATCATTTGTTATCATCTTCCAGCCTAACTTAGAGACAAGGGCTCTATTATTACTCCAAGCTGAACGAAGACCAAGTCCACCCTCCTCTTTACTCATACAGACCGATTCCCAATTAACCAGGTGCGGCTTCCTTGACTCAGTGTCAGATCCCCATAGGAATTGTCTGTTTAGTTTATCAATGGCTTCACATGTAGACTTCGGCAACAGGACAGTTTGCATTGTGTAACAAGGAATGGCTGAGGTCACTGATTGGATTAGTGTTTTCCTACCTGCTAGACTGAGCAGTGATTTCTTCCAGCCAGCAAGTTTCGATTGTATCTTCTCCAGAATAAAACGATAATCACTCCCAGTCTTCCTTTTATGTAAGATGGGGACCCCCAGATACTTACCCAAATTTGCAGAAAGAGGGATATTACATTTAGCACTGAACGAGTTGGCCACAACCGACTGGATGTTTGGAGACAAGAAGAGCTTAGATTTATTCAAATTCAACACTAAACCAGAACACCCCGCAAATGAATTAAGACAATCCAAGATAACATCCAACTGTTGATGAGAAGCTTTAGCAAAAAGCATAATATCATCTGCAAAAAAGAGATGAGAAACAGATAAGCCTCCTCGAGAAATTCTAAATGGCTTCCAAAGTTTCTCCTCCACCCTCTGGTTGATTAGATACGCCAGCTTTTCCATGACCATGATGAAGAGATATGGAGACAACGGATCACTCCTTCCGTTCACTTCTTAAGAATCCAAAGGTGACTTCTCTCCTAACTAGCTTGCTACCCATTTGAACAAGAGGAATGCAAGAAGAGCTTATTCTATCCCCCTCGGTGAAGTGGCACCGCTTACGAGATCAAGGGATGATTGAACAGTTATCAAATCTTTCTAGGAGCGATTACTGATTCAATCACACCGGAGACTTTCACAGCTACTCTCACTCTAAGAACGGGTCTTCATCCTAGGCAAAGACAGTCAAGCAGGATCGGATTCAGTTCCCTTTCTAGCGGCGGTTCCTGATTCAATTGTCAGTAGTGGGTTGAGAAGAAGCACCGGTACTGCTCTCCGCCATATCCAAAAGAAGGGAACAAAGACAAAGAACCTAGGGAACCAACTCACAGAACCCGAACCATATAACAAGCCCGAAACTCCATCTGCCACTTCAATCTTTGCCCTAATCTCCAAGCAAGTCTTCACCATCTTTCAAGGAATCATCAACTGACGAGTTTCTCTGGGCTGGAAAAACAGATGGAAAGGGCCCCCTTCTTCCAGATTAGGGTAAAAAGATGTTGTTTTCTTGCAATTGAATCAAAAGGAACAGTTCTTACCTCAAATAAAAGTCAGTGCAGCCAGCCTACCCATTATAACATAATAGAGGAACGCCCTCTACCTTATCAACTCCGAACGAATGCTTAGTTAGTCGTGAATGAGAACTCTTTTTGCTTGTTGGCAGGTAGCTCCATGTAAGGTTAGCTCGAAAGAGAGTTCTTAATCTTTTACCTGAGGGGAAGAAAGCTTTGCCTCCTGGGGTGACCTTCTTTCTTCGAGGAGCATAAAACATAGTAAAAGAAGGGGGCAGGGATGTAGATATCACTACTATTGATTAACCGGTGTCAGTTGCTTTAGCAGCTCCCTCTGGGCATCCACCCGCAGCAAAGAGAAGATTCTGCCCATCTATGAATCCAAACCTCCCGAGCAGCTTGCAATTGATCCTTCCGTTCCTGCTCTCTTTCCTGTTTTCGGTTAAAGAGCCCCCTTCCCCTAAACCCGCTTATTAGTGTTTTCTAGCCATTCTTCCCCACAGATGCAGGTATCGAATCACCAACTACCAAGTAAGCAGTCTTAGTCTTTTCATTTCAGTCAGGAAGAGTCCGGCCTAGCCCTATTATACTACGTTGCTGGATTTACTAGATGAAATCCAGACAAAAGGAACTCAGAATTGACTAGTATTGGCCTTTCTTCCTCGCCTAAAAACCCAAACTCGTAACCCAGCCACTCAGCTTGACGAGCGAATCGTTATCCTTCATCGGAGAATGCGAGATGAGCGCTCCCACTGATTGGAGTCTTCCCGCCAAGACTAATAGACAAGTAGGTCAAGAACACGAAGGCAGAACTTGCAGGCCTTTTATTGTATACACATCTATAGGCAAACTCGCCAAACAGATCAATGACTCTAGCTCCAAGCCGAAGGGACTTGTGAAGCTGCTACACTCATCAAAGATTTCGAAACTCGCCTCAAAACCTGTGTGGTAGCATTACCGGTGCAAGTTTCTCCTCTTTGGTTGCGGGCCTTAGCTGGATCAGTGGGTGGAATCGAAGTGTAAATAGGAGTATTCTTTTTTCGGAACTTTTTAGCTGGTTTGTGAGCATCACCAGCTATATCACCAGGGGCTTTCCCGTTCAGGACATCTCGCCCCCGTCGTATGTTCTTGTCGTCTACTCAGGAAGAATCCAACCAATACAGTTCGCTGGGCCTTCCCAACTTGACTAGTGAGCACTGCTCGACTATAAGAGCTCGCAATGCTATCTATACAAAGCGAGCACTCATAGCGTAGTCGTTCTTGTTCGTTGTCGTAGTGAGCTAGTTGGGCTCCGCTTGCTTTCGAGCCAATTGCCAGCCCCATGGTACCTTCGTGAGTCAGAGACAGTGAAATCGCTGCAGAGTCGTTCGCAGCAAAAACAAAGACTACCCCAGGGTCGAGCACGTAGTACCTTAAGAATTCTGTCTCCTAAGCAGCTTTGAGCATCATTTACATCAATAGCCGGAGAAGCCGTTACAAGCTTTGAGGGCGTAAGCGAGCAATGCTAGCATGGGACTTCTGATCCCTATTTGAGATAGAAGAATAAGCAAGCTGCTTGGGGCTCTCTGGGTTTGCTATATTTGACACAGATATTAGACCGTGGGGCCTTCAATCCCGAATCGAGACGCAAAAACAGAATGAAACAGCTTGCTCGACACACAAGTTTTGGAGAGCGTCTGTCCCTCCTGATCCTTCTCTCGACTGAAGAAGTACGCCCAAAAACCACAGGATCTCCATCTCAAAATGCCAACACCGCTATTTATATGTGACTGGATCCTAAAATACCTCGATGGGCCAGAAGAGCACAAGGAAAGAGTGTTGAGAAGACCATCTTCTATGATTTGATCTAGCCCCGGTGACCTCTCCATTTGATTGGAGATAAGGTCGAAAAGTGTAAGCATAAAGGAAAGAAGGGCGCTTTCAAAAGCCATTTTGCATCTGGTCATTGAATGAGTTTTCCTCCCGAAAAGGAGAACCTGAACTCTCTGGCCGTACCATCGGCTTGCCACCTTTTCTACTTGACTTTTCTTTTCTCGAAAGATGCTGCTGCCTACGCGGGCTTTGAAGCTCCCCTATTGCATTAATTTATCCAATTACTCCAGCTGGCACATTTATTCTGTTTACCCGATATCATCCCATTCCTTTCTACCTTCGCTTCGGCATCAATCCTCGGAACTCTCGATCTCGGAAATGGGGTTAATCAAGCTGATTGCGAGATATCTAATTTTTTATAGAATTTCCGGGAACACACGAAAGAAAGATATGAACTGAGTCAAATAGAAAGATCGGAAATTGAAAATTGACCTATCCATTGTTATTTGATACATTGAGGTCGGTCACGTTGGTGAATTAGGTGAAGGTAAGGAAAGAGAGGGATTCGAACCCTTTGTAAACAAAAGCCTACATAGCAGTTCCAATGCTAGGCCTTGAACCACTCGGCCATCTCTCCTACATAATCTTTTGATTATGACCCGCGAGTCATTCATATTCATTCTTGCAGTAAAGGTACGACCAATCCATTAGAAATAGAAAACTTCTCGTCAAAGAAAGATCTTCTAATTGCATAGATAAGGAAGTGGCATTTGCCTCAGCTTTCTTTCTCGCTTATACCCGTCCTGATAGTGAGCTCCTTGGCTAACATTTTCTATTCCCCTTCGAGAGGGCTATAGTTTCATCGTTAGATGAATGTCCCGGTATTGACAATAAAAACCTAAGCAATTACTAATTTATCTTTGTTCGTTGACCGATTGAAGTGCCTGCCTTTGCTTCTTCCTTGAATGTAACTGCTTTCTTTCCCGCCCCCTTTAGCTTTAGGGGCAATTGCATTCTTTCGAAGCTTTCCAGGCTGTATGTGCTTTCGATTAGCATTCCAAGGTTGTAATTCATTGAAATCGGCTAACTTTTGAATAAAGTAGGAAAGAAAGATCGTATGTTAGTATGTCGATCCTCTAAAGCGAGTGAATGGCTTTCCGCTTGTGGAAGCATTACCGTAGGGCTTGCTTATTGGGAAAAGGGCCATTACGTAAGCAGTCTTCGATGTAGGCTATGGGGTTGCAGGTCTAGCGCCATCCCCGAAGCCTTTCATTTAGGTTGACTTTGCTTTCTTCTTAGTCTTCCGTCTAGTAGTGGAAGGCGTGTCTGGGAATCAATCTTCGTTTAATAGGGAAGCCGGCCTTTCTTCTTTCCTTCAGGTGGTGAAATGCCTATCATAATAGCTGTTGCAGGAGCGATGTCAAAGTGAATCTTGTAGTGAGGGTCTTTCGGGTATAGCACCATTACAGTTGCGTTTTTGTCTGCTGCTAAGGTTCAATGCTTTCTCTTTTAACAAGTAGTAAGCGCGGGAGCAGCTCTCTCTTCCTCTCTCCATACTAGCAATCGACGGATAAGAAGGTAATCCGCATCAACAGAAAAAAGACTGACATCTTTAAGAGCGCCTAGACCTCTTATACCGCTCCTGACCCGAACCCTCGAGGAACGAGCAGCTTTAAGCCCTACCCTTCCTTCGCTTTCCACTGAGCTGAGGTAATCCCTGAAGCCCCTCTGGTTGCAGTGGCAGTTGCCAGCGAGTAAGACAGTGAAAGCAATGGCTAGGGATTTTATTACTCTTCTTGACAAAGAGAGGAATCGTTTTGGACTTTAGCTTCTCCCTGGGAGAGAATACTATACGATTAGTTTCCCCAGTTCTCTTATCTTAATCTAATCTACTGCAATTGAAAGCGAATACCTTTCGGTAGGATATATCATCCATACCCTTGTAGTTCATTTCTCCCTCTTCAAAGTGATATCTATAGGTTGACTTTGGGGTCAATATTGCATGGAGGAAAGGATATGAGTCTTTCTTTAGAACACAACACTGAAAGGAGAGTAGTTATTCCACTCGGAAATGCAACAAGCTTAGCTTGTAAAGGAAACTGGGAATTCTTAAAGGCAGATAGCGGAAAGGTGAGCTGCTATAGCTTCATTGTTCATCTTCCCCTCGCTACCGGATGAGTGAACTCAACCCGCCTATACTGGATGGGATTGGATTCAATCCACCCTCTTGCCTTGGAGGAGCATATATTGAGATAGGATTGAATGGCATGCCCCTAAAAAGCCGGGTTGCATTGGGAGAATAGGTAGGCCTTGTTAGCGGCGCATCATCAGGAATGGATTCAATCAACGGATTCCCTTTGCCTCCTTGATCCACTTGGCGAGTGGAAGACATTGAGAAGGGCTTTGAGGCAGTGATTGAAGTTCCGAGTCACTCGACTTTCCGAGCTGGGGATTCCGTAGCTACGTTTTGTTACCCGCTTACTAAGCTCAGGCATTATAGCTAGGCAAGTTAGATCCTACTACACAGTAAGATAAGCTATCCCATTCCTTTGCCGGGAATGACATTACTATACCATGAAAAAAAGCAAACAAGCATCTGTTCGCTTGGGAGATCCTATCGCTGACAGGAGCAAACCTTAGGAATTATTCTACTCTCGCTCTCCCGCTCCTCTCTTGACAGTCATTAAAGGAAGAAGAGTAGCTGGGATGGGACCACAGAGTTCCCCAGTTGAGGCATGTAGAGAGATCGATACTGTAAAGGAGTACACCCACGTATACAGTTTTGTGCGGATTAGTTGTTATGTAATAAAAAAGTGGGAATCCCACGCTTGGATTGACAGTACCCAGCTCAGGTGGCTAGCGAGTGCTACCTTACCATGGAGCATCCAATCTCTCTCAACCAGAGATCGACACCTCTGACTAGCCTCTCTTTCAAGACAGATATACCATATAAAGCCTAGAAGAAAGAAGAGGAACCTTCGGAAAGGGTTTAGATATTAGGTATCTAAGGTATAGAGCAGCGGAAAGACCGATACAACAACTTAGTGTCGGTGAATCGGTTGTCTCTCTCTTACTTGGGGAAGAACCCTTCAATTCCAATAAACCCTTTCTTGTCTATAGAAGGCATAAAGAAGGAAAGAACCTTCCCCTCCTGTATCTATCTAAAATAGTCAATATCGAATACAAGCTGAGAGGGAGAAGGCTTCCTGCGTAGGCAGATTAGAGCAATCCAATTTCTTCCAAAAATTGGACTTCTCTTTCCTCCTCCCTCAATAGACTGGCCTAACCGCCCCGTAAAAACAGGACCCACAGAGGGATTCAAAATTGGAAGGAGAGGCCCTATCGTTGTTCGAGCTACGCTAGTTCGCTTCTTCCATTGCTCACCCCGAGCATTGACGAATTCTACAAGGTGTCTAAACCCTGCCAACTCAAAAGTTTGCGCAGGGAAGGTCGATCTATACCGATTCTATTTAGCGCGGCCATAAGATGACCACATCCGTTGTAGAGTCGGATAACTCGGTAAGGCTTTCCAAGTGGGAAACCATTCCATCCCCTGGTAAAGAGGAATAGAACTGATATCAGGAATATACCGGTTTATGAGCTTGCGGAATGAGGATTTGATCTCACCTACGAACTCACACACCCTATCGATATCTGACACTGGTTTCACAATCGACTCAAAAGTACCAGAACTAATCTTCTTACCTATCAGAATTATCCGATATAAGGAAAATAAGGATAGGTAAAGTTGAACCAACTGGTCAGACACAGTGTCTCGACGGTAAATCCGTCGTCGATGGAATCGAGGTATGATAGTCGGATATCCTCACCTAGTGAGGGAAACGGGTACTGGTAGGAGCCCATGAGGTCTTTTAACAAAAAAAGCCTGTTGAAGTGAGGAGGCACATTTTTTAAGATACAATGAACAGTGCAGCCATACCGACTTCCTACCTAACCTGTACACGTCCTTCATTAACAGGTAAGCCGCTATGCATAATTCCTTGGTAAGTCCGCCCATCAAGTTCCAGAAAGCAAGGGAGGAAGGGCTTCTCTAAAGCAAGCCCTGTCACTCGACGCCTTGGGATGGAAGTAAGAAGTCCTCTAGGCAAGTAGGCATCAATCTTAGGTAATAAGGTCTCTATTTCTCTTAGGAAATTCATCAGGAAGGTGTATTGAAAATGTTCAAATTTCGCAAGCCCCTTAAATTGAAGTGCCAAATCCATAGAGTTCCATTGGTTGGTAAGCGACTACTTTCGAGAGTCACTTAGCCTCCCTTGACCTCTTCTCTCAAAAAAGACGCTGTGTGGGCAGAGCGAGGAGGAAATTTTTATAGTTCTTGTAGTACGACTTTTCATTTCATCCGCATATCTCAAGACGGAGCGGATGACTAAAGGCTTTTTGATCTCCCCTCCGATCGACGTAATGCTTTCACTTCTTCGCGCTCTGCACCAACGCATACAACTCCTTGTCATACGTTGGAGAATTCTTCACCGCATTACTTTATGTCCCCGAATGAACGCATACAGACCTTCGATTCTGCATCAAGACTGTGAACATGGCATAATCGCTTGCATCCGTATCGATCTGTTGATTGATGCCCCCACCGGAACCACTTTTCTCTTGCCCGAAAGGGGCATTAGGAGGGGATGCTGTGTAATAGAAATGGTCGATGAACTTACTTAGGGACTGCACCGCTCCGAGGATGAGTTGCTCATCTCCGTCACATTTCTCGTTTTGTTTTGTTCCAGTCCCCTACTAGGAAAACATTCTATTTAAGTGACGGCGGGATGGTTGGCTCTGGTTCAGTAAATAGACTACTATTAGTAAAAATTTATTGATCCAGGGTGTCATCATTCTTTGAAAGAGGAATCTCCTTCCTTTTGTTCTCTGACCGATCAAGATAGCTTGAAATTCATTGATCTGAGGGACATTCATTTGCTAAAAGGAAAAAACATTGGAATTAGAGCTGCACTAGCTAATAAAAGAAAGAAAAAAGTGGCATACGGTTTAGCCCGTTAAGTCAGAAACTAAAGGGAATCTTCTAAGAAGGAGCGCGGATGGAACTTTATTTATTGTCTTTTTTCTCCCGTCCCGTTCGAGAATTGGCATTTATGTCAGGCTATGCCCTTCCAGTAAAGTCTTCGCTGGATTCAACCGAGTTTCGAGGCCAACTTTCCCTTGTTTCGATTCTTGCCACTTGTCTCAGCCATAATTTCATTTGCTAACAGTAGTCCCTTGATAGATAAAATCAGCAAGAAGCTAACCGGGTGGAAGGCCAGAATTCTTTCTTTTGCCGGACGACTGCAGCTTATAAAGACTTTTTTTTTCATACCAACACTACTGGATGTGCTCCTTTCTGCTCTCTTATAGCAGCATTGATGCTATTGAGAGAATGCTTCGAAAGGAATTTTCCACGCTTCCTTCATTGCTTTATTCATGCCTTGACTTCCCGAATCAAGGAAATTCCCATGCAATTACTGAAAGCTGACTTCATGCCATTGAAGACAGGCCAGGAAAGCATTGAATCATTTCCGAGGTTTTTCCTATTAGGTCAGTAGTTCACTCACTTTCTTCCCTTGCTTCTTGCCTACTTCGGGAGATTTTCCACAGCTGATTCCGTACTTTTATTATACTTAGGAAGTCGATTTGGGAAAGAAGAAAGAGATGAGATGTCAGCACAGCTTCATGATGACTTTCTTCCTAGCTTTCTTTCCTTAAGGTATGATAGCTATCCCCTTCTTCTCAGCATATGATCTAAGGTTTTTTTCCTGATATGAGATTGAGCGAGGAAATGCCAAAGCCAAGCTTACTTAATTGAATCTTTGAGTTTGCCAGTGGAATCTGTCCCAGCTAACTAGTTGAATTACCGAGGAGAACAGAAAGGAAACTCCCTTTCAAGGCAAGACAGGAGGGTTAGTGCTTACTCCATCGGCAGTAGAGGACCTTTCTTAGGCACCTGGCTGACTCTTAGTTACTTCAAGCGCTGATGTTCCTTATTTTAGGATGCAACTCGGATTCTTCCTTCACTCTTGACGGCTTAGCCGTGGAAGTGGAAGTCTAAGAGCGAGTACCTCTCATTCCTCTAAAAGCAAACTCCCTTGAACAACTGCTTTACAGTAGAGATTTCCAGTGCAGTGGAGGAACGTTGCTGAGCTTGCCGAAAAAGAGTAAGATGCTGATTCTATAGCTGCTCCGATTCCTTCAACAGAACAGAAGTGTTCCCTCTCCTGAACCGGGGCTTATTCCATTCCGAACAAGCGCTAAAGAAGGGTGGGTGGGATCTCTCCTAAAAGAAAGAATTGAATTGAATTGACCTCGAGCCTGTCCTAATTCTTCTTCTTCTTATCCCGTTCCTGACCCTGAGTGTAGAGGGGTTAGCCTTGAGCCAGGTCTTTCTTCACTATCTCCTCTATCTCCTTTTGCTCGATGAATAGATTTCTTTCTTATTGGCTTTTCCTGGCTTATGTTTTTTGGACTTTGAACCTCGCGAATACCTGTCTTCTATCAAATGGGGATCAAAGAACTGCCAGTTCGTGAACTAGATTTTGGCAACTCTACAGGTTTCGAGCCGCTCCCGACAGAAACCTCCTGCTGCTCTGGTAACTACGCTCGCATACTTGTGTCTAAACTCTCCGAGTCTGGCAAGACTACATTCTCGGAAGACCGCCATGATGATGCCTCATCAAAGACCCGCTCTGGGGACGTCTACTATGGTGAAGCCTTAGCCCAAGTAAACCAATATGCCCCGTCCAATATTCCTTGCTTTAGACCGCCCTAACCTTTGACAGGAAAGACTTCTTTCAGAGGGATATTCCCATCGGAGTTCCAGCTCTTTCAGTTCCTTTCTTTTCGATTGTGCTGCTACCTTCCCTTCCATAAACGAGTTTCTGTTTATTTGTCCTCTCCCCTCGAAGAAAGAAGATTTGTTCCCCAACGACAAAGGAACGGGCATTTTCGGGGACTAGCCCGCTTTCCTTTCTTTTGTGGTTTTCTTTTCTGTGGTTGGGGGTAACAATCCTCTTTTACAACTCTTGTCGTACAGCCAAGTAGAAAAACAGCAAAGCAGAATTTCTTGTAGATAAGAAGAGTTTTCTCGTTATTCATTCGTGGAGGGGTCTTAAACTGACTGTTCAACCCGTGCTCTGTTGCGTGGCTTGCCCGCAAAGAGCCATTTTTTCCTTTGAATAACGAGAAAACTTCACTTTAATAATACGCAATTTTATCTTTCGCTGCTGCCAAAGCTTGCCCCACACCCGTGAGTCAGTCACGATCAGAGCTAGTCAAGCAAGTGAGGGAGCGAGCCATGAAACTCCAAGATCTAAAGCAGTCTCAGAAACCTCTACCGGCGGGTAAGAACATTCAACTAGGTCCGATGCCTCTCAATCCGCAGTAGCTGTATCCGAACAAGAGAAAGGGCAAGCTAGGCCCCATTATCTCAATCCATTGAGACAATTCCTTGATTCCGGGTCCGATCCTCCTATTGATCTCGTTTCCGTCTCGAGACTAATTAAGAGAAATAGTGAAGATCGTTGTCACTGATACACCTTTTGAATTTGCCTCTAGGGAAGACGGAGTAAGTAACCACGCTTCGACCACTGGAACACAGGGAGGGAAAGCCATGAAGTGAAGAGGGACCTTTGACTACTTATAATTCAAGGGAAGGGGATGGATGACCAAACTATACCATTATCGACCACCCCTAGCCCCGAGGATGGACCTTACTTAGTTGAGGAAAGGATTGGCCCGGTAGAAGGAGGTTTCCCCACTGCAGAGTTTCCGTAATCAAATTAGTTATATGAGGTAGGATACGAGACAGAGTCAAGTTATGAGGCGGAAGGCCCAGCAGAGCGCCCCAGATCGATTGCCCGGTACACGTCGCACCTTAGTCCGCTTGGGATAGGCGTGATAGCAGAACCAAATGGTGATTACGTAATTCCTTTCCTTCATGACCTCTTCAACCTATCCAATCGGGGCATTTGCTAACCCCGTTGTTCATCCATATCCATCCTAAGAACCCCTATACGTCTACCCGTATGGAGCTACCCTACCTTCTTTCTGAACCCCGGAGATGGAACAACTTCTGGCCCTGGCCACACTAAGGTGGACTCGATCGTCTAGTCTTTCCTTCCTCTTTCGATGTTATGTATGCTTTCATTTCAGATAGGATGGTAGGATTGATGGTATGCCATCGCTCAACTCTCTTGACTTGAGACTAGGTTGGGGGGAGTCGAGACCAGGCCAAGGGCATACTCTAGCAATGGTTTGTCAGCCATTGGGAGTTTCCATAGGTTGTATCCCTAAGCAGGAAGAGTTTGCGAGCCAGTTGCAGTGACAGTTGGAGTTGCTTTACTTGGTAGGGCTGGAGTATGAGTTTTCGAGGGCGGAATAGGGTGAATCTTTTTTTTTAATATATATAGCTTTCATATTGGAATAGGCTTTGAATATGTGGAATAGGGCCCATCCCATCCATAGGAAGTAAGACTTTCTCTAGTCGGTAATAGTTTCTATATAGTCGCTTTCTATACGAGGAAGCTCCATACGAGCCAAATGATCCAGACGGTACGAGTTCTTTTCCATCCCCTTTCCTTCCCGGCAGTATAGGATAGGAATCCAAGGGATGGGGCATTTGAGCCAATAGGATATTATCTTTTTCTATACCGATACGAACGAATACACTTTAGTGTTTAGGCGGGGATAGATTGGTCATTACGGCCTGCCTCCCTTCTTTCTGGAGAAAACTCCTATTAAAGATTGATTTATTTGGGAGTGGAAGGGCTTTAGATAAGTTCTCCATGGAGGGCATTCTATGGAAGGTCATAGTTTCCAGGCTAGTTAGAAAGAAAAAAAAAAGACAAGTTATCAAGCGCAGGGATAGCAGCTAAGGCAAACTAGCCAGTTGAAGTTTTCGTTGCCCTTCCTTCCGTAGTAAGAATAGTTTCCATCGAGAAGAGCAAATATGTTTCCTCTCCTCTTCCAGTTACATCTGTAAAAGCAATTAGTCTCCCTCTTTTTACTGTGAAAAAGCCTTGGAGTTAGCCTTACTATTTGAAAAAAGGTTACAGATCCTAAACTCTTCTGTTTCTGTCGGTTCAGCTAAGCCAATAGCCACTAGTTAGCATAAGAGCCATAATAGGTTTGCAGACCGACCCAGTTTTTCCTTAAAGTAAGTTTAAGTGATAAGAGAATCCCCTCTTATAGTGCCAGGCGAGCTTACTTCGATGGGGTAAGAACTAATTGATATTGAGTTATTGAGCTCCGAGGAACTTTCGTTGCCTCTTATCTTAGTCCATGCGATCGAATACGGTCCTTGCAATAGAGTCAATAGTAGCTCCTTTCCAGTTGTCCCTTTCCCTTAAGCAAGCAGAAAGAATTATCACATTGGAGAAAAAGGGTAAGCCTGTTCTGCCCTTACAGTTCCAGGAAAATCCTAAAAGGCAGTCTCAACGGCGTATGTCTAAGGGTAATTTTTTCTCTCACCCCCTCTTATGAGATAGGGACCAAAGTAAGTAGGAGATTCTGCCCCCCCTTCTTTTGTTTATGCTGTAAAGCCTGAAAAAAGCTCTCAACATGTTTGAAGGTGGGCTCTTGGTGTAGTAAGCCATTGAGCAAAAGAAGTACTCAAGGCATCTTGCTCCCCTCCTTCTGTCTTGGATTCCATATGCTTTTTAGCTTAGTATTTAGTTTCCTTGGATGGTGAGGTCACTGTCACTCCCATTCATTTCAGAGCGGGGCTTTTTGAGTTTCACCCTTTCCGTATGCTTAAAACAAGTGGATGGAGGGGATTAGAAAAGCAAAAAAACAGTCTCCCCAAGAGAAGGCTAAGGGGAGTGAGTCAAAGCAGTAGGACGTTCTCGGTTCAGTGTGCCAAGCCGCTTTCAAGCATTCCAGCGAGCCTCTGTCCTTTTTTTCTTTTAGCTATCTCAACTCTTCGACTTCGAAAAACGAGGATTCTTTCTTCAGTGGAAGAGAAAGAAAACCCTCAATTACATCGACCCTTGCGTAGGAAAGATGGGGACCGGTGCGCGGACGACCCGGAGATAGAGCTCGGAATCCGTAGAGCAGCAGAAGACCAACCCGCCAAAGACTCTCA